TCCTGGGCATGCCCCGGCCGCTCGCTACGTGCGGGCTGGCCGAGGTGAGCGTGGGCGGCTGCGCCGGCCTGCCGGGTCCGCGCTGGGGAGGGGCAGGGGTCCGGGGCGAGACCGTGCCGACTACGACTGAGACAATCAGTGAGGATCTGCGGCCACCGAGTCTGGAAGATGCGAGGCCATTTGGCTCAGTGTTTGTAGGGAGGATCGTCCTTCGGGGAGAGGACAGACCCCAGGATGAGTTCTACGTGCTGCCCAGGCGCGGGGGGACTGGGCTTCACCACGCGGCGGCCCCGAGCCCGTGGTTAGGGCTCTGCGGCGGGGGCGGAGTGCCCTCGCCGTCGGGCGGACTCCCGCCGTGTCCAGCGGCACGGGCCTTGCCCGGTGATCTGGGAGAGCCTGTGGCGGCTCGCAGTGCCTCCGTGGTCTCGTCCTGCTCGCTCAAACTCGGCTCCCCAGGAGCAGGGGCGGCATCCGGGAGTCTTGCGACTGGGTCCCCGTCACACGTCACACAGACGACTGCCAGACCTTGTTGAATAAATGAGCAGTCGTTATCCTGTTTGATGATTGATTTGGTTAGGAAAACTGGGTTTCTCTCCTTGGTATTGTGTTAGAATCTGTGGGGTACATATAAGCCTCATATTTGACAGTGCCTTCAGAGGACCTGTAGTTGGCTAGGAGAGTTGGGGTAAATGCATAAATAAATTCATACAGGGTAACAGATTTAGAACTCTGGGGTCCAGAGGCCAGGGGACGGTTTATGGAGTGGTAGCATTTGAGCCAGGTTTAGAAGGAAAGCTGGATTTAGGGATGCAGAAATGTGGCAGGGTTATAGGAGAAACTGACATTTTGTGTGGTCGGCAGTTAAGGAAACAGATGAGGCAGGTGAGGGAATAGATAGCAAGGAGTCTGAGCAGAACCTGTGGTGATGGCAGCGGGGCCCCTGGAGGCATTGGGGAAGCAGAGCTGCGGGGGGGTGAGGGGCTCACTTGGTTCCCAGCTGTTGGGAGTCATGGTCTGAGAAGGAAGGGTTGGGAGGTGGACTCAGTGCAGCGTGGGGACCGATGGGATGGAGAAGGTCTGAGGGAGGCAAAGCTGACACCAGGGTGTCTGCCTTAATGCCAGGATGGCACTGTCATCAGCTGAAACAGCCCAGAGTAGCCGCAGGTCGGGTTTGAGGGCCTGGTTGGATGGGAGGTTGTTGGGCATGGGGCCTGGGGCTGGAAGGAGGGCAGCCTCATGCCCTGGGGATTCTCTCCTAAGGAGGATGTGGTGGCAAAAGCAAGTCTGAATAACCTCAGGGTGGGTGGAAGGCTTTCTGCCACCAGCGTCTGGAGGTGTTAGGAAAAGCGACGAGTGTGGCGGGAAGCGCACAGGAACAAGGTAAATGGGTGTCTTGGGGTCTTCTGCAGCGCCACTGGCTTCACCACCCGGTCAGACATCGGGCCTGCCCGGGATGCCAACGATCCTGTGGATGACCGCCACGCGCCGCCGGGCAAGAGGACCGTCGGGGACCAGATGAAGAAGAGCCAGGCTGCGGATGACGATGATGAGGATCTGAATGACACCAACTACGATGAGGTGACTTGTGGGCTCCCCGGCCAGTCTCCAGGCGCCGAGCAGCTTCTGAACCCTGTGTGCTGTTGGCATCTGTGGTGGGTGGCTTGATGGGGCTGGTGCACTTACTTTTTCATCTATTCGTGGGGTTTCTGTAGTGGAGTGAGGGGAGCAGGACAAATATAAAGATTTGCTACCTCTTCAAATCTGTCCTGGCCTAGTTGGTTGAGTGTCGTCCTGTGCACCAAAAGGTCGAAAGTTTGATTCCCAGTTGGGGCACATGCCCCAGTTTTGGGCTCGCTCCCAAGTGGGGGGCGTGAGAGAGGTGGCCAATTGATGTTCCTCTCTCTCTTCCTCTCCCTTCCCCTCTCTCTCAAATCAATAAAAACTTTTTTTTTTTTAAAGAGACATGTTCTTGCAGCTGTTACAACCACTGCATTGGTGTTTTGTCTTGGCCAGTGAAGTTTTTTTTTCTCTCAAATTATAAAAGCAAGTTTATTTAGAAAGTTACAGAGGAGCATTTGAGATCTTGCTCCCTGACATATGTCTTCAGTTTAATTAAAATAAACTCATAAAAATAAAAAAGTTACAGAGGTAATAGAAGTGAGCCAGCTGGGCTGTGTAGACTCGGGAAACAAGTGACAGAAGCAGAAGGAGGGCCCTTGGAATTTAGGAAAGTTCACTCGAAAAGAAGACTCGAGCGGACATGCTCTGGGGGGAAAGAGAGCACTCAAGCCAGTGAAAATTTAAAGATCAAAATGTAAAGTGGAATTAGTGATATTTGCATTCTTTTGCTTTAATTTTCACCCTCTTTGTTAAATGTTTGTGTTTTTTAATTTCAGAGAGAGAAAGTGAGAGGGAGGGATAGAAACAGCAATGATGAGAGCGAATCATTGATTGGCTGCCTCCTGCATGCCCCCTCCTGGGGATCGAGCCCACAAACTGGGCATGTACCCTGGCTAGGAATCAAACCGTGACCTCCTGGTTCATGGGTTGATGCTCAACCACTGAGCCACACCAGCCAGGCCACCCTCTTTGTTAATTGGCATTTAGTCCATTGAAGTTTTCTTCAGATATGTTCTAACAGATAGCAGTTTTCCTCAGAGGAAAAGCTTTCTAAAATTAGTTCAGAAATAATTTTAAATTTCCAGGGATCTTGCAAGAATAATGGGGAAAATTCCTGGGTACCCTTCACAGGCTTCTCCCCTTCTTCCATGATCTTAGTAGCTATTGAACCAGCAAATCGAATGACACAGCACTCTTAGCTGATCTACAAGTGCTATTTGAATCCCAGTTTCCCATCTGTGTCCTCTGGTCCAGGACCCGTCAAGACCCCTCATACATTGGCTGCTCAGTCTCCTCCATCTTCCCTGCCCTGACAGCTGCTTTGCTGCTCCTCAGGTTGGGTTTCTCTGGTGCAGAATGTTGTGTAGCATTTGCACAGGAAGTGCTCTGTTCCTGCTGGTGGGGATTGTGTGGGAGGAGAAGCTGACGCTCCAGGGATGTGTTTGGTTCCCAGTTTAATGGCTATGCAGGGAGCCTCTTCTCAAGTGGGCCCTACGAAAAGGATGACGAGGAAGCGGATGCTATTTATGCAGCTCTGGATAAAAGGATGGACGAAAGAAGAAAAGAAAGAAGGTAAAACCAGTTACTGTCCTTCACTGTCTTTTATGCAACTAAAAAAAAAAAAAGTTTTGTTTTGCCTTGGTTTAGACTTGGAGAAAAGTTGCAAGAATAGTTTGTGTGTCTGCTCAGCTTTGAGGCCCCTGGGTCTTGCCTATGGTGGCAGCACCTGGGTAAACGCTGGGCTGTTGGACAGGAGCTGCAGGGCTGGGGGCTGCAGTGGAGAGCTTACGAACTCCATGCTGGCTTCCAGAACCTGGCAGCGTTTGGGGGACTATCCTGACTACACGTCAGGGTTACTGTCTTTGGGATAGGTGTAGTGATGTTGATTAATATATGTTGAGTTATCATTGTAAGTTCTCTATATTTTTTATTTTAAAAATGTGTTCTGCCTGGTCGGTATGGCTCAGTGGTTGAGCATGGACCCAGAAACCAAGAGGTCACCAGTTCAACTTCTGGTCAGGGCACATGCCTGGGTTACAGGTCGATTGCCAGTGTGGGGTGTGCAGGAGGCAGCCAGTCAATGATTCTCTCTCATCATTGATGATTCTATCTCTCTCGCTCTCTGAAATCAATAAAAATATATTTTAAAAGAATTAAAAATGCATTATCATTATAGAATACTAGAGGCCCAGTGCACAAAAATTTGTCCACTGGCGGGGGAGGGGGGTGGGGAGGTGTCCCTCAGCCCCACTTGTGCCCTCTCACAGTCTGGGACCCCTCGGGAGATAACCACCTGCTGGCTTAGGCCCGCTCCCCAGGTGGCAGAGGGCAGGCCCGATCCCTCGGTGCCTGCCCCGCCTCCCCGGGTCGCGCCCACGGCAAGGCCGGTCCGGGGGTTGGGGTGCTGCCCCAGGTCGTGCACATGGCAGGGCCGATCCGGGGGTTGGGGCACCGCCCCAGGTCAGGTCGCACACAGGACGCCCGGGCAGGCCGGCCGATCACTGCTGCCCCTCCCGGCCGCCCCGGATCGGGTCGCACACAGAGCACACAGACGCCCGCCGCCCCGGGTCGCAGATAGCAGGCCCGGATGGCGGCAGGGCAGGCGGGATGGCGCTGTCCTGCCCTGCCTGCAGTATGCAAATTATCCGCCATCTTTGTTGGTGGTTAATTTGCATATCGCGCTGATTAGCCAATGGGAGGCGTAGTGAAGGCACGGTCAATTACCATGTTTGTCTATTATTAGATAGGATTAGGAAAATGAGATTAAGTATAGGGATAGGGTGACATTTATTCACAAGCCTGGAAAGTGACAATTGGCATTTGGTTTTACTTTCCTCTTTATTGCTCATTACACATGCAATTTTATAACTTTCTGTAACATATGTAGCATTTTTAATATTTTCAAGATCATTTCAGAAGAGTGAAACATAGTTCTTGACAAGAGTTTTTTTTTTCTTTTTTTTAATTGTTTTATTGCTTAAAGTATTACACAGAGTATTACATATGTCTCCTTTTGTTTTCTCCCCTTGACCCTCCCCTAGCCTCCCATGCCCCCCAGTGTCTTGTGTCCATTGGTTATGCTCGTATGCATGCATACAAGTCCTTCAGTTGATCACTTACCTCCCCCTCCCATCCCCCAACCCTCCCCAGCCTTCCCGCTGTAGTTTGACAGTCTGTTCAATGTTGCTCTGCCTCTGTATCTATTTTTGCTCATCAGTTTATAATGGTCTTAATTATCCATAAATGAGTGAGATCATGTGGTATTTTTCTTTCATCGACTGGCTTATATTTCACTTAGCATAATGCTCTCCAGTTCCATCCATGCTGTCGCAAATGGTAAGAATTCCTTCTTTTTTACAGCAGCATAGTATTCCATCGTGTCCATGTACCACAGTTTTCTAATCCATTCATCTGCTGATGGGCACTTAGGCTGTTTCCAGATCTTAGCTATGGTGAATTGTGCTGCTATGAACATATCCTTTCTGATTGGTGTTTCTGATTTCTTGGGATATATTCCTAGAAGTGGGATCACTGGGTCAAATGGGAGTTCCATTTTTAACTTTTTGAGGAAACTCCATACTGTCTTCCATAGTGGCTGCACCAGTCTGCATTCCCACCAGCAGTGCACGAGTGTTCCTTTTCTCCACATCCTCTCCAGCACTTGTCGTTTGTTGATTTGTTGATGATAGCCATTCTGACAGGTGTGAGATGGTACCTCATTGTTGTTTTGATTTGCATTTCTCGGATGATTAGTGACTTTGGGCATGTTTTCATATGTCTCTTGGCTTTCTGAGTGTCCTCTTTTGAAAAGTGTCTATTTAGGTCCTTTGCCCATTTTTTGATTGGATTGTTTATCTTCCTTTTGTTAAGTTGTATGAGTTCCCTATAAATGTTGGAGATTAAACCCTTATCGGTGATAACATTGGCAAATATGTTCTCCCATGCAGTGGTGGGCTTTCTTGTTGTTTTGTTGATGGTTTCTTTTGCTGTGCAGAAGCTTTTTATTTTGATGTAATCCCATTTGTTTATTTTCTCTTTAGTTTCCAAAGCCCTAGGAGCTGTATTGGTGAAGAAATTCCTTCGGCATATGTCTGAGATTTTGTTGCCTTTGGATTCCTCTAGTATTTTTATGGTTTCCCGTCTTACATTTAAGTCCTTTATCCATTTTGAGTTTATTTTTGTGTATGGTGTAAGTTGGTGGTCTAGTTTCATTTTTTTGCATGTATCTGTCCAATTTTCCCAACACCATTTATTGAAGAGACTGTCTTGACTCCATTGTATGTTCTTGCCTCCTTTGTCAAATATTAATTGAGCATATTGGTTCGGGTCGATTTCTGGGTTCTCTGTTCTATTCCATTGATCTATATGTCTGTTCTTGTGCCAGTACCAGGCAGTTTTGAGAACAGTGGCTTTGTAATACAGCTGGATATCTGGTATTGAGATCCCACCTACTTTGTTCTTCTTTCTCAGGATTGCTGCAGCTATTCGGTGTCTTTTTTTATTCCAGATGAATTTTTGGAGAGTTCGTTCTAGATCTGTGAAATATGCCATTGGTATTTTAATGGGAAGTGGGTTGAATTTATAAATTGCTTTGGGTAGTATGGACATTTTAATGATGTTGATTCTACCAATCCAAGAACATGGTATGTTCTTCCATCTGTTTATGTCTTCCTCTATCTCTTTTTTCAATGTCCTGTACTTTTCTGAGTAGAGGTCTTTTACCTCTTTAGTTAAGTTTATTCCTAGGTGTCTTAATTTTTTTGGTGCGATGGTAAATGGGATTGCTTTTTTAGTCTCTCTTTCTGTAAGTTCACTATTGGTGTATAGAAATGCCTTAGATTTCTTGGCATTAATTTTGTATCCTGCTACATTGCCAATTCATTTATTAAGCCTAATAGTTTTTTGATGGAGTCTTTAGGGTTTTTTATGTCATCTGCGAATAAGGACAGTTTTACTTCTTCTTTTCCAATTTGGATGCCTTTTATTTCTTCTTCTTGTCTAATTGCAATGGCTAATACTTCCAGTACTATGTCGAACAGGAGTGGTGAGAGTGGGCATCCCTGTCTTGTTCCTGTTCTTAGGGGAAATGGTTTTAGTTTTTGTCCATTGAGTATGATGTTGGCTGTGGGTTTGTCATATATGGCTTTTATTATGTTGAGGTATGATCCTTCTGTTCCCACCTTGCTGAGAGTTTTTATCAGAAATGGGTGTTGGTTTTTGTCAAATGCTTTTTCTGCATCAATTGATATGACCATGTGGTTTTTTTCTTTCAATTTGTTTATGTGATGTATCACGTTTATTGATTTGCGGATATTGTACCATCCTTGCATCCCTGGGATAAATCCTACTTGGTCATGGTGTATGATCTTTCTGATGTACTGCTGGATCCGATTTGCTAAGATTTTGTTGAGGATTTTGGCATCTATGTTCATGAGGGATATTGGCCTGTAATTCTCTTTCATTGTGTTGTCTTTCCCTGGTTTTGGTATGAGGGTGATGCTGGCTTCATAGAATGAGCTTGGAAGTGTTCCTTCCTCTTGAATTTTTTGTAGTAGTCTGAAGAGGATAGGTTTTAGTTCTTCCTTGAATGTTTGGTAAAACTCCCCTGTGAAGCCGTCTGGCCCTGGGCTTTTGTTTGCTGGAAGCTTGTTGATGACTGCTTCAATTTCTTCCATAGTTATTGGCCTATTGAGATTTTTAGATTCTTCCTGATTGAGTTTTGGAATGTTGTATTTTTCTAGGAATATGTCCATTTCCTCCAGGTTGTCTAGTTTGTTGGAGTAGAGTTGTCCATAGTATTTTTTAACAATCATTTGTATTTCTGTGGGGTCTGTTGTTATTTCGCCTCTATCATTTCTGATTTTGTTTATTTGGGTCCTCTCTTTGCTTCTTGGTGAGCCTGGCTAGAGGTTCATCAATCTTGTTTATCCTTTCAAAGAACCAGCTCTTGGTTTCGTTGATTTTATGTATTGTTTTTTTGGTCTCTATGTTATTTATTTCTGCTCTGATCTTTATTATCTCCTTCCTTCTGCTCACTATGGGCTTTTCTTGTTGGTCTCTTTCTAATTCTTTGAGATGTAGAGTTAGATGATTTATTACCATTTTTTCTTGTTTTTTGAGGTAGGCCTGTAGGGCTATAAACTTCCCTCTCAGGACTGTTTTCATTGTGTCCCATAGGTTTTGGATTGTTGTGTTTTCATTGTCATTGGTTTCCAGGATGTTTTTAATTTCTTCTTTGATCTCATTGGTAACCCAATCAATATTTAATAACATGCTATTCAGCTTCCAAGTGTTTGAGTATTTTGGGTTGTTTTTTTTTTTTTTTTTGGTTGTTTTTATTATAGTTTATTTCTAATATTATGCCATTGTGATCTGAGAAGATGCTTGGTATGATTTCAATCTTCTTGAATTTGGGGAGACTTTGCTTGTGACCCAATATGTGGTCTATTTTTGAAAATGTCCCATGTGCACTTGAGAAGAACGTATATTCCGTGGCTTTGGGGTGAAATGTTCTGAAGATGTCAATTAAGTCCATCTGATCTAGTGAGTCATTTAGGATTGCTGTTTCTTTGCTGATTTTTTTGTCTAGAGGATTTATCCAGTGATGTCAGTGGTGTATTAAAGTCCCCTACTATAATTGTATTGTTGTCGATCTCTTCCTTGATATCTTCCAGGAGTTTTTTTATGTATTTGGGTACTCCTGCATTGGGTGCATATATGTTTATCAGGGTTATATCTTCTTGTTGTATCGATCCCTTTAGTATTATGAAGTGGCCTTCCTTATCGCTTGTTATGGCCTTCACTTTGATGTCTATTTTGTCTGATATAAGTATTGCTACCCCAGCTTTTTTTTTTCATTTCCATTTGCCTGAAAGATATCTTTCCATCCCTTCACTTTCAGTCTGTGTGAGTCCCTTCTTCTGAGGTGGGTCTCTTGTAGACAGCAAATATATGGGTCATGTTGTTTTATCCATTCAGCCACTCGATGTCTTTTGATTGGAGCATTTAGTCCATTTACGTTTAAAGTTATTATTGAAAGGTACTTGTTTGTAGCCATTTCTATTTTTTGTGCCTGTTTTCTTTCTTAGCTTTTTATTTCTTCTTTTTACACCAGTCCCTTTAGCATTTCTTGCATTGCTGGCTTGGTGGTGATAAACTCCCTTAACCTTTTTTTGTCTGTGAAGCTTCTTATTTCCCCTTCAATTTTGAATGATAGCCTTGCTGGATAGAGTATTCTTGGATTCAGTCCTTTGTTTTGCATCACTTTGTAAATTTCTGTCCATTCTTTTCTGGCCTGATGTGTTTCTGTTGAGAAATCATTTGATAATCTAATGGGAGATCCCTTGTATGTAACTTTCCGTCTCTCTCTTGCAGCCTTTAAGATTCTCTCTTTGTCCTGAACATTTGCCATGGTAATTATGATGTGCCTTGGCGTGGGTCTTTTCGGGTTCATCTTGTTTGGGACTCTCTGTGCTTGTGTGACTTTTTTCTTCCCCACCTCAGGGAAGTTTTCAGATATTATTTCTTCCAATAGGTTTTCTAACCCTTGTTCCTCTTTCTGTTGTTCTGGCACCCCTATTATTCGTATGTTGTTTCGTTTCATGTTGTCCCATAGCTCCCTTAGGCTCTCCTCCTGTCTTTTAATTTTTTTCTCCAATTGCAGTTCAGTTTGGGTGTGTTTTGCTTCCCTGTCTTCTAATTCGCTAATTCGGTCCTCCGCTTCTCCTAGTCTATTGTTGAAACTTTCAATGGTGTTTTTTATTGCAGCTATATCACTCTTCATTACTTCTTGGTTCTTACATAAGTTGTTGATTTTTTCATCTGTTTCTTCTTGATTCTTGCATAAGTTGTTGATTTTTTCCTCTATCCGGTTTATGCACTCTAGGACCCTTAATCTGAATTCTTTTTCTGACATGTTGCATGCCTCTGTTTCACTTAGCTGCTTTTCTGGCGAGTCCTCCTCTTCTTTCCTTTGGGGGTTTCTTTGTCTACCCATGTTTGATCTCACCGACAGATCTAGATGTTGAGTCGTTCAGGGGCTGCTCCTTGTGTGGCAGTGGCTCCTCGGGCTGCGGTTGCTCCTCGGGCGGTTGTGGTAGCAGCTGCTCCTCAGTTGGCAGCAGCTCCTCTGGTGGCTGCTGTTCACAGCTGTGGTGGCTCCTCTGGCTGGTGGGGGGAGGCTTCTCACACAGCTGCTGTTCCTCAGACAGAGGGTGTGCTGATCACGAGGCTGCTGTTTCTTGGATGGGGGCGGGCTACACACGCAGCTGCTACTCCTTGAACTGCTGCGGACTGCTCACGTGGCTGCTGTTCTTGAATGGGGACTGGCTGCACGCTGCTGTTGTTCCTCTGATGTGGTGGGCTGCTTGTGGGGCTACTGCTCCTTGGACTTGGACAGGTTGATTGCAAGTCTGCTGCTCCTCGGATGGGGGTGGGCTGCTTGCATGGCTGCTGCTCTTTGGACGGGAGTGAGCTGCACGCGTCGCTGCTCCTCCTCTCCAGGTGTCTGGTTATGTGGCTTGCTCTCTAGCACTTTAGCCAGAAAGGATAAAATTCACCTTAACAAGACATGACTCAAGGGGAACAAAGGATGAATGTATTCACGACACCGATAACCCCAATATAAGTGACCACCTGAGAAAAGAGAATTAGGGGAGAGAAAAGAGAGTCCAAATGATATCGGAGAGAGAGAGAGAGAGAGAGAGAGAGAGAGAGAGAGAGGGAGGGGAGAGAGAGAGAGGAGAGAGAAAAAAAAACAAAAAAGATAGGAGAGAAAAGAAAAAGGAGAATATATATATATATATATATATATATATAGAGAGAGAGAGAGAGAGAGAGAGAGAGAGAGAAAACACAGAACCAATAGATAAATCAAACAAATACAAACACCAAACACCCAGTAAAGAGGGTGGGGGCAGAATCTGTAGAGGCTGAGTTGATATATAGGAAATAAGGTTAAGAATTGGATAAATATGGGGAGGACCTCACTTCAGTATAGCGGAGGTAGAAAAGGGATGAGTAGATAAGAAGAGACAGAAAGGGAACAAAATAACATATTTATAAAAAAATTGATTTAAAAAAATGGTATAAAAAAAGGGAATAACAAGTAATAAAATAAAATTGAATGATGAAAAAATAATGTGAAATAGTAGAAAATAAAGCAACAAACAAAAAAAGGGAAACAAAGAAAAAAGCAAAAAAAAAAGCTAATAAAATAATAATAAAAAAATAAAAATGAAAAATTGAAATGTCATTCCTTTGGCTGGCTTAAGATCCCAATTTCTGGAGTGTCTGTGATTTTTTTTTTTTTTTTCTGTTGCTGGGACTCAAGGCCCCTCTATAGGCCAGACCCTGTTTACTCCCAGGGACTAATCAGATTTGTTTAATCCTTCATGCCATTCAGGGTGGAATCTGGGTGTGGCTGTATTCCTTGCCTGGGGCCTGGAGGGAGGAGTTATATCCTCAGGAGAAAATGGCTGCCCAAGTCCTGGGCTCAGGCGTGACTCAGCACTCAATTTGCTGCCACCTCTCCTGGACCCCCTTCTCTCCCCAGCCTCTTCCCAGATTCCACTTGTCCGCACCTTCTCCTGCTCCTCAGCACGGGTGAGTGTCTGTATCCGAATTGTCCTATGAATAGGGTTCAGTGAAAACAAACAAACGCCGGCCGCAGAAACGAGGAAGACTGAGTCTCCGTAAGCTCCTCTCTTACTGGCACTGCATGGTCTGGTCAGCGCTTCAGGCTGCCCCCTTAAGGCTCAGTCCTCCGTAATTATGGAACCCAGATCTCAAATCCCCCGGCTCCAACAGTCCCGTGGATCTCCTTTCCCCAGTCAGGGGCTGTGCCTGTCCCAAGAGACGCGGCTGGGCTCAGAGATCTGGCAAACTTTCCTGCCCAGGTCCCTGGTTTTTACCTTTCCAGGGGAACTCTGCCCTTCCCGGCTGCAAACTGTCTCACCAGCTGAGTATACTTCGCCAATTCAGGGGTGGATGTTACCTGTTTCAGCTGCTCATTCTGTTTGCTCCAGGACAAGCCTTGGGACGCGTCTGCCTATTCCGCTGCCATCTTGCTTCTTTTGAGAAGAGTTTTTTGTTTATTTGTTTTTTGTGAATCCCCACTCAAGGATAATTTTTTCTTTTTTTTCTCTTTTACTTATTTTTTTAAATGTTTTTTAAAAATATTTTTTATTTTTATTGATTTCAGAGAGGAAGAGAGAGGGAAAGAGATAGAAACATCAACGATGAGAATCATTGATTATCTGCCTCCTGCACGCTCCCTACTAGGGATCAAGCCTGCAACTCAGGCATGTGCCCTTGACTGGAATCGAACCTGGGACCCTTCAGTCCGTAGGTCAACACTCTATCTACTGAGCCAAACTGGCTATGGCAATTTTTTCTTTTTAATCTTTATTGCTGAAAGTATTACATATGGTACCCCCCCCACCCCCCCATTAACTTCTTCCAGCCGCCCTCCGGCCCCCAGCCTTTCACCACATAATTGTCCGTGCCCATGGGTTATGCATATATGCATACAAGGTCTTTGGTTGATTACCTCCCACCCACCAGCCCACCCGCCCACGCCTTCCCTCTGAGATTTCGCACTCTGTTCCATGCTTCCATGTCTCTGGATCTTTGTTCATCAGTTTATTTTTATTAGATTCCACATATGAGTGAGATCATGTGATACTTGTCTTTCGCTGACTGGCTTATTTCACTTAGCATGATACTCTCAGGTCCCTCCATGCTATTTCAAAGGGTAAGAGATTATTTTTTACTGCTGCATAGTATTCCATGGTATAAATGTACCACAGGTTTTTTATCCACTCATCTACTGATGGGCACTTGGACTGTTTCCAGATCTTAGCTATTGTAAATTGTGCTGCTGTGAGCATAGGGGTGCATACATCCTTTCTGATTGGTGTTTCGAGTTTCTTAGGATATATTCCCAGAAGTGGGATGACTGGGTCAAATGGGAGTTCCATATTTAATTTTTTGAGGAAATTCCATACTGTTTTCCATAATGGCTGCACCAGTCTGCATTCCCACCAGCAGTGAACTAGGGTTTGCTTTTCTACACATCCTCGCCAGCACTTGTCTTTTGTTGATTTGTTGATGGTAGCCATTCTGACAGGTGTGAGATGATACATCATTGTTGTTTTAATTTGCATCTCTCTGATGATCAGTGACTTTGAGCATTTTTTCATATGTCTCTTGGCCATCTGTATGTCCACTTTGGAGATGTGTCTATTTAAATACTTTGTCCGTTTTTAAAAAAAATGTGTTTTTATTGATTTCAAAGAGGAAAGGAGAGGGAGAGAGAGAAACATCAATGATGAGAGAGAATCATTGATTGGCTGCCTCCTGCACGCCCCATACTGGGGACTGAGCCCGCAACCCACGCATATGCCTTGACGGGGAATCGAATCATGATCTGGTTCATAGGTCAATGCTGAACCCTGAGCCACACCAGCTAGGCCTTCGTCCATTTTTTAATTGGCTTGTTTGTCTTCCTTTTGTTAAGTTGTATGAGTTCCTTGTATATTTTGGAAATTAACTCTTTATCAGGTGTATCATTGCTGAATATGTCCTCCCATGCAGTGGGCTCCCTTTTCGTTTTGTTGATGGTTTCTTTTGCTGTGCAGAAGCTTTTTATTTTGATGAAATCCCATTTGTTTATTTCCTCCTCAGTTTCCTTTGCCCTAGGACAGCGGTTCTCAACCTGTGGGTCGCGCCCCCTTTGGGGGTCGAACGACCTTTTCACAGGGGTTGCCTAAGACCATCGGAAAACACATATATAATTACATATTGTTTTTGTGATTAATCACTATGCTTTAATTATGTTAAATTTGTAACAATGAAATTGGGGGTCACCACAACATGAGGAACTGTATTAAAGGGTTGCGGCATTAGGAAGGTTGAGAACCACTGCCCTAGGAGATGTATCTGTAAACATATTGCTACGAGAGATGTCTGAGATTTTTCTGCCTATGGTTTCTTGTTTCCCGACTTACACTTAAGGTTTTTATCCATTTGAGTTTATTCTTGTGTATGGTGTAAGTGGGTGGTCTAGTTTCATTTTTTTTGCACGTATCTGTCGAATTTTCCCAACACCATTTATTGAAGAGACTGTCTTGACTCCATTGTATGCTCCTGCCTCCTTTGTCGAATATTAATTGAGCATAATGGCTTGGGTCGATTTCTGGGGTCTTTGCTGTGTTCCACTGATCTGTATGCCTGTTCTTGTGCCAGTACCAGGCTGTTTTGATTACAGTGGTTTTGTAGTATGACTTGATATCTGGTATTGTGATTCCTCCAACTTTGTTCTTCTTTCTCAAGATTGCTTCAGCTATTCGGGGTCTTTTTTGGTTCCATATAAATTTTTGGAGTATTTGCTCTAGATCTGTGAAATATGCCATTGGTATTTTAATAGGGAATACATTGAATCTGTAGGTTGCCTTGGGTACTATGGACATTTTAATGGTTCTACCAATCCATCAACACCGTATATTCTTTCAGTTGTTTATATTTATCTCTTTTTTCAACGTCCTGTAGTTTTCTGAGTACTGGTCTTTTACTTCCTAGGTTAAATTTTATTCCCAAGTATCTTAATTTTTTTGTTGCAATGGTAAATGGGATTGTTTGTTTAGTGTCTCTTTCTGAGAATTCATTATTAATGTAATAAAAAGCTATCAAATTTAATTCATTTATTAAATCTAGTAGTCTTTAGGATTTTCTATGTATAATATCATGTCACCGGTGAATAATGAGAGTTTTACTTTCTCCTTTCCAGTGTGGATGCCTTTTATTTCTTCTTCTTGTATGATCGCTGTGGCTAGGACAGTGGTCGGCAAACTCATTAGTCAACAGAGCCAAATATCAACAGTACAACGATTGAAATTTCTTTTGAGAGACAAATTTTTTAAACTTAAACTATATAGGTAGGTACATTGTTATTAACTTAATTAGGGTACTCCTAAGGCTTAGGAAGAGCCACACTTAAGGGGCCAAAGAGCCGCATGTGGCTCTCGAGCCGCAGTTTGCCGACCACGGGGCTAGGACTTCCAGTACTGTGTTGAATAAGTGGTGAAAGCCGATATCCCTGTCTTGTTCCTGTTCTTAGGGGAAATGGTTTTAGTTTTTGCCCATTGAGTGTGATGTTGGCTATAGGTTTGTCATATATGGCCTTTATCATGTTGAGATATGCTCCCTCTAGTCTCACTTTGCTGAGAGTTTTTATCAAAAATGGATGTTGGGTTTTTGCTAATGCGTTTTCTGCGTGTATTGATATGATCATCTGATTTTGGGTTTATGTAATATGTCACATTTATTGATTTGTGAATATTGTACCAGCCTTGCATCCCTGGAATAAATCCCACTTGGTCACGGTGTATGATCTTTTTAATATATTACTGGATCCGATTTGCTAATATTTTGTTGAGGATTCTAGCATCTATGATTATCAGGGATATTGGCCTGTAATTCTCTGCTTTTGTATTATCTTTATCTGGTTTTGGATTGGGATAATGCTGGCCTCATAAAAAGAGCTTGGAAGTGTTCCTTCCTCTTGCATTTTTTGAAATAGTTTGAGGAGGATAGGTCTTAGTTCTTCTTTGAATGTTTGGTAAAACTCCCCTGTGAGTCCGTCCGGATCCGGGCTTTTGTTTGCTGGGAGTTTTTTTATTGCTGCTTCTATTTCCTCAGTTGTTATTGGCCTATTCGGGTTTTCTGATTCTTCCTGATTTAGTTTTGGGAGATTGTATTTTTCTACGAATTTGACCATTTCATCCACATTGTCCACTTGTTGGCATATAGTTAGTTGTTTATTGTATTTTCTTACAATCCTTTGTATTTCTGTGGTGTCAGTTGTTACTTCTCTGCTTTTGTTTCTGATTTTGTTTTTCAGGTCCTCTCTCTTTGTTTCTTGAAGAGTCTGGCTAAGGGTTAATCAATCTTGTTTATCTTTTCAAAGAACTAGCTCTTGGTTTTATTGATTTTTTTTTTTAGTCTCTGTCATTTATTTCTGCTCTAATCTTTATTATTTCCTTCCTTCTACTTACTCTGGGCTTTTCTTGTTCTCTTTCTAGTTCTTTCAGTTGTAAGGTTAAATAGTTTGTTGTTGATTTTTCTTGTTTTTTGAGGTAGGCCTGTAGTTCTATGAACTTCCCTCTCAGGACTGCTTTTGCTGTGTCCCAGAGATTTTGGGTTGTTGTGTGTTCATTTTCATTTGTTTCCAGGAAGTTTTTGATTTCTTTCTTGACCTTGTTGGTAACCCATTCATTGCTTAATAACATGCTATTTAGCCTCCATGTGTTTGAATGTTTTTAGGTGTTTTTTACTGTAGTTGATTTGTAATTTCATTCCACTGTGATCTGAGAAGATGCTTGATATGAATTCAATCTTCTTGAACTTGTAGAGACTTGTTTTG